CAAGTGCCAAAATACTATAGTCACTTGCAGTAATTTTCTTGCAGCCAACTTAAGGCAGAATATTTATATATATATCGTCCTAAGTTAATTGATCTATATATAGCCTCTAAAATAAAACTAGAATACATATTTTATGTAATAACATATACATCACTCCTAAATAAAGGGCATTTCACGTGTCTACTATATGTGTGCCCAGAGTATGGTCATGATCTGAGAGAAAAATAAAATCACAATGTGGTTTATTTGTGTGTAATAGCATTTTACTTACTCTGTTTTATAACATTAAATATTCGTTGAAACAAAGGAGGCGAGCATACACTGCTACATAGTATGTATAAAAAAGGTTTGTGTTTAGTCAGAATAACCTAATAATGGAGAATTAACTAATTGTATATTTCTAGCATAAAATATTCGAACTCTGCTGCGTTTTAAAAGGCCTTTCATGATTCACAGAGGCCCCAGTGCACCGATCAAGCTGCTTCATTAGCCCCAATTACTTCTATAGTTACCCCGAGGAGGTCCTTACCCAAAAACAAATCCCGTTAGAACATCCTCCCGTGACCCCTAACAAAGTATGAGATGTTTTTGAATGGGGGTATTAACACAGTTTCAAACATGGCGACCTTGGGTTCCCGAAAGGGAGCAGAAACATAAAATTCGATGTCATATTTGGAATCAGATAACCTGAAAACCCACTCATAGATCTCGGCATGCCTGGATGGCCTTCCAGGCTCTTGTGGTCCCCCCTTGGTACCTCTTAGCATTACTACTAAAATTATCCAGAAAACCATTAGGACACTCACCCTTTGTGCTAAGCTTGTTCCTGCTAGTTTGTGACTGGGGGTATGAACATAGTTTCAAATATGTCACCTCCGGGATCCTGGGGAAGTCTAGAACACAAATTCCAATACCAGATTTCAGCAATCCAGAACACACGCTCCTAAACCATCAACATGGATGGCCTTCAGGGCGCGTTTTATCCCACCTTGATACCCCTTTGGGTGGGGGACTACGTCATGTAGATAAAGACAACCCCAGTTCAAGAAGGAGAAAACTGATGACACTTTCTTATATAAAACAAAATTTTTTGAAGTCTTAATGAAACAATTAAATGCACTAAAAAGTGTAAATGTTTCTAACGCACTTTTGTATATTTATTTATTTGGTTCTTTTTACTTCTTTATTTCTTTATCTCCCAAACATGAACCAATGGACAAAAAAAAAACGTAATCACTCTCTTTGAAAAGTATCTGCTTTATATTGGTTGAAGCTGCGACGATGATGACTTAATTTAATCTTAGACATCATCTCCTTCAAGCTTAGTAAGTTTACGATTTGAAAATAATGATTTCCTCTTTTAGTTTTCAAAACCGGACTTCAAAATTTAATAGAGCTGTCACAAGCACGAGGAAGTGTCATTATTATAAATGGAACCGTATCTTTAGGTGACGTGAAATGTCACTGGAATGAAGAATTTAATGATTATTTTCATTCTGGGCGTCAAAGCTTGAGGCTTCTAAATTATATTATGTTTCCAGAATGTTTTTGTCTGAAACAGTAGGATAAAACAAAGTGCGTCAAAGCCTTCAAAGCAGGGTGAAATTGAACAAGTTAAAGACTGAGAAAACTAAAGAACTAGAGCTACATGTGTACCTACATTACTGTGTACAAGTTAAAGACTGAGAAAAGTAAAGAACTAGAGCTACATGTGTACCTACATTACAGAGTAGAAGTTAAAGACTGAGAAAACTAAAGAACTAGAGCTACACGTGTGCTTACATTACAGAGTACATTGAACCGAAACTCGTTGTTTTAGACAATACAATCAGCACTTTAAGAGTGATATATAAATATACTCCATTTATTAGTTGGTTAGAGTTGAAGCATTTGCTTGAACATAAAAGTTACATTATTTAAACTATATGTATTTTTACCTCAAAAAATAATGACCTTGTGTCATATTTCATTAGTGTTATATTAACTAATTTTTATTAAGCACGCTTTGTGTTTAGATGTTCGACTCGAAGAACATGATGGCAGCTTGTGACCCTCGACATGGCCGTTACCTAACAGTTGCTGCCATCTTTAGGGGTAGAATGAGCATCAAGGAAGTAGACGAACAACTTTTAAGCATACAGAACAAGAATAGCAGGTCTGGTATTTTGTAAAAACATATATAACAGCAAGAGAAAGTTTACTATGTTTTGAAATGAATTACACAATTTTCCCTTATTCATGAATTACACAATCTTCCCTTATTCATGAATTACATAATTTTCCCTTATTCATGAATTACACAAACTTCCCTTATTCATGAATTACATCGTTTATGAACAAGTTTAATTACGTCTGGCTTTACGGATTGCCCCCCCCCCCCAGTGGCACAGCGGTATGTCTGCGGACTTACAACGCTAGAAACCGGGTTTCGATACCCGTGATGAGCAGAGCACGGATAGTTCATTGTGTAGCTTTGTGCATAATTAAAAACAAACAAACGAACTTTACGGTTTATTAAATCTGAACTGAAACGTTGAATTTGTAAATAGAAAAAAAAATGAACCGCATTCTTCGGATTTAATTGAACTCGTGATATAAGTAATTATTCCGAACATATGGAAACAAATGTTCGTGTACTGTTTCATAAAAGGTAAATGTACATGAGCGTAGTTAATCTGATAACTTTTAACATATTTCATCAATCTACTGGAGCTATTCGGTGACAACTTTTCGATCTTCGTTTCAATGAGTGGGTGGAGTGCGTTGAAAACTTTCAGATGATAATATTGATTTAGCATTTTTCTTAGTTTTGTTTTCAACAGCTATTGCATGTGGTCGAGAACGAGGAGCTAGGCTGTTCTATCCTATTAATTTATTTCTATACGATTCAGAACTCGTGAGCTGTCATTTTTAATAATCGCTTTTAGGCTTCGTCACAAGTTAAACTTTTTGCCCTCGTACTTACCCCCCAGTGTAATTCTGCGGTAATTCTGCGGACTTATAACGCTAGAAACCGGGTTTCGATACTCGTGGTTGGCTCAGCACAGATAGCCTACTATGTAGCTTTGCACTTAGCTACAAACAAATAAACCCTCTTACTTGAAAATAAACAGCTTCCAGATAATCAGAACTCTGAATATATAAAGCTTAGGTGAAGCATTCGTTTGTTCCTCAAACAGGCTGTTAATTTAAATATTTTTAACCAAAGAATAATCATTATACTCTACAATTATTAACAAACAAAAAATGAACCCCAAAATTGACGAGAGTTCTATTCAAACCTACACATTTAGAAACATTATTATTCTACATTCTGTGTTTAGTTCTTTATGAAAATGTTTTGTGATTTTGATACAATATTTTCTTTATTAGGAGGACTTTATGCGTCTAAAAACACGTGCAAATTTTAGCGACCTTACAACGCTAGAAACCTGGTTTTGATACCCGTGGTGAGCAGAGCACAGATAGCCCATTATGTAGCTTTGTGCTTAATTATAAGCAAACAAATTTACCTTTTTGTGTGAAAGTATATACGTTACTATACCTGATTTATTTTCTATTCTTAAGTTATTTCGTCAAATAGATCCCAAAGAACGTTAAATCAGCTGTCTGTGATATCCCGCCACGTTAATTACAAGCAAACAAATATACCTTTTTGTGTGAAAGTATATACGTTACTATGCCTCATTTATTTTCTATTCTTAAGTTATTTCGTCGAATGGATCCCAAACAACGTTAAATCAGCTGTCTGTGATATCCCGCCACGTGGTCTGAAAATGGCAGTTACTTTCATCGGAAACTCCACAGCGATTCAGGAGATATTCAGGAGAATAGCCGAACAATTTACAGGTAACCTTCAATACGTGTATAGCTTATAGCAAAATATCTTTCAGCACGAGACCTAGACTTTTGAGTAGTTGTTTACTCTTAACATTAAAATTTGATTAATACTAATTCAAATTGTAGGTTTATGCCTGTAGATATTATTGTTTTTGTCAAAATATTTTTAAGAATCAGCTATAATTATCATATGTTATACACTCTTCGATTGTAACAGCGTTTAAAAACATCTACGCACGTCTCAACGTTTCTTGTGATACTATTCGAAAATTTTCAATCACTTTGTTGAAACAGAAAAGAAATAATAATAATAAACATTTATAAATCTAACTCATACAAAATATTATAGCGTTTATTTTCAAAATCCAGTTGCTCAGTCATTTTATATGTTTTGTGTAACAGAATGATTTAGCATCCATTACGGACTAGCCTGACCTGATGGTTGAGGCACTCGACTCGCGCTCGAATCCCCATCAGCGAACTTGCTCGCCCTTTTAGCCGTGAGTGTATTATGATGTATCGGTCGATCCCACGATTCGTTGGTAAAAAACTAGCCCAAGAGCTTGCGGTGGGTGGAGTTAACTAGCTGCCTTCCTTCTAGTCTATCACTGCTAAATTAGAGAGGGCTAGCGCAGATAGCCCTCGTGTAGCTTTGCGCGAAATTCAAACCAAGCATGCATTGTGTTAATCAAGAATTTATCATTATATTGAAATATTCTCTCTTTTTTTTCAGCCATGTACCGTCGCAGGGCCTTTTTGCACTGGTACACTGGAGAAGGGATGGACGAAATGGAGTTCACTGAGGCTGAGTCTAATATGAATGACTTGGTGTCTGAATACCAACAGTACCAAGAAGCTACTGCTGACGATGAGTCTGATTTTGATAACAACGATGAGAATTTACTGGACGACAACCCTGCAGTCTGTGTACCTTCACCACATATTTCTCAACCCCAACGTGCTTATGTACATTGAATACAATATATCATATAACCCTGTAATGTTTTCTCATCACCAGATGTTTCGATTTAAGCAAGGAAGAAACGTGAAGTCTTGTCCAAATTTTAAACATATCAATTATAGAATTCAATAATAAATTCGACCTGGTAACGAGAAAAAAAAACGCACATTATTTCAAACATGTTGGCCTCTAAAACCTATTAAAAATATATGTAAATTATATTTTCTTCAAAACCTTGTAGTGAATATAAGATATTTCAAACATTGTGCTCATAATCCTTTCCCATATAATCAACATAAGAAGCAAGAATGTGAAACTATAATAAAAATAAAAATATTGACTTACACATAAACCCAAAATATAAAACAAAAGCTTGATGGAAATATTTTATTGTTTTCAGAATATTTAATAGATATTTTGACAATAAAGTTAGAAAAAAAAGGCACAATGGCAAAACATTAGTTGAAATAAAATTATTATTATCTGAAGAGTAAAGGTCTGTTTTTTCTAGCTTTACTGCCAAAAAAAATGAATTATTAGAATCAAAGTAGGTTTCTAGATTAAATAACCAATTTATCATTACAGTATAGTTTTTTAATGTTATATTTTTTTCCTGTCCTGTACGAAAAATGTGTGCGAAACTGCAGGTTGCACAGTTATTTATTTCATTGGCCAGGTGGTTAGGGCGCTTGACTCGTAAACTGAGGGTCGCGGGTTCGAATCCCCGTCCCACCAAATATGCTTGTCCTTTCAGCTGTGGGGGCGTTATAATGTAACAGTCAATCCTACTATTCATTGGTAAAAGAGTAGCCCAAGAGCTGGCGTTGGATGGTGATGACTAGCTGCCTTCCCTTTAGTCTTTCACTGCTAAATTAGGAAAGGCTAACGCAGGTAGCTCTCGTGTATCTTTGTGCGAAATTCAAAAACAAATACATTTATTTCATTCCCTGATTTTTTTAATTCTTGCCTCCAGAATCTAAACTAATTCCAAACTGCTTTCTTTTTAAACTTTTAATATATTAATGTATGTAGAAATTATTGAATAAGAGGGGAAATACCTATTTGTTGTATAAAGCATACTGACAACGTCTCGCTGTTAACGCTGTGTAAGCGCATATAAATTCGGAGAATACTCTGGACACTAATTACGTAATAAGAGCATCTTTACTTACATGCTTCAAATTGTGAATTTTTATTCTTAATCAGCAAAACTAGTTAGTTTAAATCTTTTTTTTTCAGAAAATAAATATTTTATTACATTTGGCAAAGATTTAAAAATGTGTGAAGAACCTTTTGTGACAATAAAAATATTTTGAATTAAAATAATAAGCATTATTTTATTGACTTATGTTTTTATGCTTTATTATTGTTTTGAGCGCATATAAATTCGGAGAATACTCTGGACACTAATTACGTAATAAGAGCATATTTACTTACATGCATCAAATTGTGAATTTTTATTCTTAAAAAGCAAAACTAGTTAGTTTAAATCTTTTTTTTTTCAGAAAATAAATATTTTGTTACATTTGGCAAAGATTTAAAAATGTGTGAAGTACCTTTTGTGACAATAAAAATATTTTGAATTAAAATAATAAGCATTATTTTATTGACTTATATTTTTATGCTTTATTATTGTTTTGAGTGTAATAGACAAATTTCTAATGAAGACACCATGTACGAAACGCAAGTCTATTTCCAACAATACCCACTTTCAATTGAATGCAACGCGAGTCAATTTTCAATCCTAGTATCCATAAAATGAATAATCTCTATTGTGTCAAATATTGTTGTTTGCTTGATTTCGTTATCAGAAATAGAGCAATATTCAGTATACACCATTGACAGTATACACCATAAGATATACTAATTGTAAACTAGACAAGAGGTCGAGAAACAAATATTTTTAGGCTGTTTAGATGCTTAATCTACAAATTTTGCATTTGAAAAGTTTGCTTATATTTCGTCTCCCGTTTTATGTCGAAATACATTCGAGGTAATTTTTTAAACAGTTGTGCTATTTACACTCTTACTAATTTTAAATTTGTTTTCCTTTCGTTACTAGCTTGGCATGGCCTGGTGTTTAGGGCCCTCGACTCGCAATGTGTGGGTCGAGGCTTCGAATCCCCGTCATCGAATATTCTCGCCCTTTTGTCTGTGAGGGCGTTTTTATGTGATGGTCAAACCCACTATTTGTTGGTAAAAAAGAATTGGCGGTGGGCGGTGTTGACTAGCTGCCTTCCCTCTAATCTACCACTTCAAAATTAGGGACGACTAGCGTAGATATAGCCCTCAAATAGCTTTGCGCGAAATTAAAAAAAAACTCATTTTGTTAAGTTTTATTCCACGTGCTTGTTTTATGTTTAATCCTTCTTGTCATTTCAGATTTTTTTTTTTGTCGGTTAATGTTACACCTATATAAATAACTACACAAGACTATCATTCGAATTTTGTGTCAATAATAAAAGTCTTTTTTTTCTTCCTAAGCATGTGGTATGCAATGTTTTAGAGCAATGACTGTGCTAAAAGTCTAACAACTACTGTGAGTAATAGCTTATAATCGTGCTTATGAACGTAATTTTGTGTTATTTTATAATTTCTTTTTTTTTCAATCTACCATTTGTGACTAATATAAATTGAATTTATTCCTTCTAAATTTCTCATAGCTTTAACTGTCCGGATCGACTGTTCTAAAATACCATAACTAATTATTGTAGCTATTTTTGAAAGTCATCTAGGAGTTCAACTGTTTAATAAGGCTGACGATGACCCCCAAAGGATAGGACAGCGGTAAGTTTAAGAACTTACAACGGTAAAATCCGTGGTTCGATTCCCCGTGGTGTATCTAGCAGATAGCTCAAAAACTATGAAACAAACACCCAAAGAAAATTAAAATCTAGAAATAATTTTATATATAGACCCATATTTTAAATTTTCTTGTTACTTTTCACTATCTTTATCCACATTAAAGATAATTAATTTTAAAAGATTAATACTTTAGATCAAAACTCACAACATTCATCACAATAAGTTTAGTAAGAGATTGTACGCACTGGTCAAAATATTAGAACCCCCTACCGACCTATAGATTAGCCCGGTTCTCACTTCGAGATTATACAAATTATATATATATTTATTTATTTACACGTTAGAAAAAATTTTGTTTGTTCGTAGTTAAGAACAAAGCTAACACAACAGGCTATCCGTGTTCTGCCCACCACGGGTATCGAAACCCGGTTTATAGCGTTGTAAGTTCGCAGACATGCCGCTGTGCTACTGGGGGGGCCATTAGAAAAATTAAAGTGGAAGGGTCCTATAAATAGAGAAGATAATTGTATGAGCATCATTTGTCACTATCATGGGAAAGAAGAAAAATATATAGACGAGGTGTTGTTGGGACTTGACTGCGGTTTCTTCAGTTGCCATAACGATTGTCCTGACTTCCAAACCCAAGGCTATTCTGTTCCGAGTCTACACTATAAGGTCATCAGATCAAAAAACTTTCTCTAATAACGGGAACTATGACCGGAAGAGAGAGAACTATCAACAAGGATAAAAAGCGAATATCGAATTGACGGATAATTCTTTTAATTATTACTGTAGAAAAGATCTTTAACTGTGTTTGAATTGACGGATAATTTTAATTATTAATGTAAAAAGATGTTCAACAGTGCGTGATTTGAAGGATAATTTTACAATATTATTATAAAAAGATGTTTGACGGTGTGTGGATTAACGGATAATGCTAATAATGGTCCGGAAACAGCAGTTTTCACCAGAACAATGCGTAAAAAGCTGCGTGAAATTAATATTCTAAGCAAGCCCTGCGTCAGCAATCGGAAGTAACGTCTCCAATGGTGCCTAGGGCATAGCGATTGGACCTTTGCGAAATGGAAAAGTGTAATGTTGGCAAGTGAATGACGTTTCAATTTGTTCTACAATTATTGTGCGATTAAATTGGCGAGAACCCAATGTAGTTATGGACCCGTTCTGCATAGTCTCCATTCAGTCTATTGTATAAAGTCCTGGGGGCTATCTAACGTTGTGGGACTCACTTACATGGCAAGGGCTAGTTCCTCCTTTTTTTTAATAGTCATATCTCTCCTTGTGAACATCTGAACATCCTAGCTAGCCAGATGTATTCTGTAATGCTCTAAGTTTAACTCTATCACATATGGTTAGTTTCAGAATGATAAAGCCACCAGCCGTAGAGCTAAAGTCGTTCGAAATTGTTTCACTAAATATGATATACTTTTATCATCTACCTTGGCATGCATAATTAATTGATCTCAATCCTACCAAATATCAATGGTATGCTTACATTAAACTATCATGAGGAATGATCCTTTACCATCATCTCTGCTCGGATTGGAGAAGATACTGATCAGAAATAGATTGAAATAGACAGCTTCCAGACACAAATGGAGTCAATAACACTTCGTATCGAGCTGAAATCAAGGAACATGATGGCCCAACACGTTAATAGGCTGGGGTTTCTAATATTTTGGCCAGTAATTGTACATCTGGAAGGTTTCCAATGAGCTGTTGCTTTCTCAAGAATTTTTGATACTTCGTTTTGATTTTTTTCACTGAAAACATTATGTGGTCTGTTAAGCCTGTTACATTTCTAACATGGCATATAACTGAGAAGTATAACTGTACAGCTTATCATCGCGGAAATTGAATGACACCAAACATAGAAAAATAAAACGTTTATCTATAAAAAAGGTTTGGTTTAAATTTCGCGCAAAGCTACACGAGGGCTATCTGCGCTAGCCGTTCCTAATTTAGCAGTGTAAGATTAGAGGGAAGGCAACTAGTCATCACCACCCACCGCCAACTCTTGGGCTACTATTTTGCCAACGAATAGTGGGATTGACCGTCACATTATAACGCCCCCACGGCTGAAAGGGCAAGCATGTTTGGTGGAACGGGGATTCGAATCCGCGACCCCCAGATTGCGAGTCGAACACCCTAACAACTTGGCCGTGCCGGGCAGCAAAACAAGAGCAACAAAAATAGCAATAGAACTGTTATTTCTATTATAAGCTTGGTAGTTCTCGGTCTCGCTCTCCCGGTCTTGACTACATGTCTGACGGTAAGTATACGGACTTACAATGCTAAAATCTGGGATTCGGTTCCCCGCAGTGAACACAGCTCAATGTTACTTGGCCCGGCATGGCCAGGTGGATAAGACGCTCGACTCGCAATCTGCGGGCCGCGGGTTCGCATCCCCATCCCACCAAACATGCTCGCCCTTTCAGCCGTGGG